TTATTCATCTTCTTGAGTCAAATTTTTACCTCGTCACTTCCCTTACAAACCCTGATTGTTTTTGTGTACATTTTTCATCTTATTCCACACGTGTCTTTAACTTATTTTTATCTGACTACAAATATCGATTCACGCTTGGTTAAATCGAGTTGGCTCAGCCGACTTCTCCGACACGCGTCATTTTGCCTTGCTTCGCTCTCCAGTCAGTGATTATACGAAATATACATATCCAAAAATCCATTCTCGTATTCGACTTATTTAATTCAGTTATTAAACAACGCGATTGAATTCGATGATTATATACGAGAATTGGCAACATGTATATTTCGATAACAAGAAGAAAATAATCTATCTATAGTCAGATCTCGGTCTACTAAAATGTTCCCAGAGAACTCCAATGACTACTACAATACATTTTTCAGTTTATTCTTTTGTATCTAGGTTACTGTGTTCAACAGTTGATTGATTGTCGTTCTGTTTCATTGCATCGCAAACAAAACAGGACAAAAAATTATTCATTTTACATACGTCCACTTTTGTTAATACACAAAACGAAATCTGTGTATCTTTAAATGCTTGTGTGTAAATTCATACATGTTTTTATAAACGTCCTTGGTGGGGACGATAGTTCCCCAGAACTCATATTTTGTAATTTTATCTTATCGAATAACTTATCGATTAAATATTTGAATGCCTGTCGATTGATGAACTTATCGACAAAATATTTGAATGCCTGCCGATCGATGAACTTATTGATTAATGTTTAAAAACATTTTACTATGACAATATCGATTGTAAATATCTGTATAAACACGCTTGACTTGTGTACTTGACCTGACTTGATATGTGCTGTTTGTCTGTAGAACACACTTTCTACGCCTCACCCAGACTTCTTGATCGCGTTAGCTGAGTCGGGTACAACAGACCAGAATAGTCTATTGGGATTCTGAATCCCTTGATCCGATCGATAAGTCAGTGTCCTATAATCGGCGGCCTTTGAGTTACAACAGTCATGTAGAGCAACTTTTGCTGTAGGTATCAATATTAAGAATGACCTAATTAGTTTCAGACAAATCAAGCATTGGGTGGAAAGTTATTCATAAAATAATCATATTTCTGCGATATACCAACTAGTAGAATTCTATTATTGTGATATGTCAACGAGCAAGAATTTGCATTCCTGACGTTTCGTTACTTTTGAAAGTCACTTCTGTTCGTTTTTATTTGTCTACCTTGAGGAAGTGATTAACATCAGGTCACGAAACGTCAGAAATTCAAATTCTCGCTCACTGATATATCACATGGGTATTATTATTTTGCTGTTACTAACCTATGCTGTCTCATGTTACATGGGGTATTTGCGCGTCCATACCGGCTGTTTTTTTTTACACATTTCGCTTGATTACTTGGACAAAAATATATTCAATGAATCCCTTCATTTACTTTTCCTTTTTTTGAGACTACTGGAAACGAAAAACCGAAATTGGATACCGAACTTTTGATTGCGTTTTTCTATTGTGCACCCCTCGACTACTTAGAGTAGGAAAACACGATCAGACACTAATGGATGATATAAGCTAATAACAGTGTTTACGAACATCAAGCTTCTTGGGTTCAAACCTCTGGTGTGTCAATTCTTGGGTTTTTGCTTATACACTGTAGTGACTGATAAATTCTTAAAACAAAGGACTTTGCAAGCCTCTTACATTAACTGTGACCTAATTGATCATACTACGTTCTCTCCTAACTTAAGGCTCTTGAGCAGCCACTCTCATTAGATCGAGTTTGCTCAAGACATACTGAAAATCTTCCAGAACAACCACTATGCGTAGGTTGCGACAATGGTGATAACCATAAATAACAGTAAGTTACACGGGACAAAACAATTCATAGGCACGTCAGAAACACTGTCCTCCGTGGCGTTATTGTATTTGAGAAGCGTCTCCATTTAGATTACCGCGGTTAGCGTACATTGATTAATCGCTACAGTAGCTTGCTCCTGATACAAGGTTTCCTGATGCAGGAAATTTGGCGAATCGGTTTACATCTTTGCACGATCACCTTGTCTTACCTCTTATGTATGTGGATGCTTTGCTTATCAAGGTCGGACTGCAAATAACCAACCTAATTCCGGCTAGTGAGATAGCTGCTGGTTCCGAAGAACATACTGTCCTGGGCCAAAACTTCTCATTCAAATGACAAATTACCTAAACCCAAAAATACCTTCCAAAGTGACTAGAACTGCCACAGTCGGGTAGCCAGGTCAACGGATACTGTTAATGATAAGTGATGCGAGACTGTACTGAAACAACACAAAGGAAACGTAAAGAAATCGATCAGTTTGCGCAAGCTCAATAAAAGGGTTTGAAATACGAAATATGCAAATTTGTGATTTAGGTTTTAAACGCGTATATTGTGAACAAAGTGCTTGAAGCCTGTGTTAGCCCTTTTTTAGTAAGCTTCTGAGTGTCTGGTCTTCTCTCGAATATGTCAGCTGAAGGTTCGGAGGCCACTGATCCAGATAGTAGATTCCATGAATTGATGACTAGGTGTTAAAACTACACGCCACGAGTACTTAATTAATTCTTGACTTTTGTACTAACTTGATACGTACTCTGCTTTGTCCTGATCTGTTAGGAGGAAAAGTAGGAAAATTCATCTGGTTCGAAACAATTTCTCTGGTCAGCACCTTAAAATCTATGGCGGGACAGTAAGCGAGTTTAGCTTCCCAAACTGCACTGTATATAGTAGACCCCGGAGTCCTGTAATTGCACCAGTAGATGTTCTCTATATATTTTCCACGGTAACCGAATCATCTTTTAAGTGGAGGCTTGGTAGCCTGAACTCACTTTTTAAAACTTGGGTTTTTCCAATATTGTGTATAATGTGGCTAACTTATTAATACCTAACTTGTCAGTGTCCATCATAAAGCCCAATAGTACTCGAACTACTTAGCTGTGACCGCGCCGCTGTTGACAGTAAGCTTAGGACTGTGGCTCATTATTACTCCCAAAGATCATCATGTGACCGAACATCATGCGTCGAATCCTCTAGGCTGTACTTGTTTACTTTTGTATCCCCCAATGTGCATGTAGACATACATGGCCCCACCGATAGGCATCAGCTGGTTTTTAGACTACCTAGCCAGAGTATCCATGTTCGCTAGATACAAGTTCACTGGCCTACAGGTTAAATGTTGACGCAAGGAAAAACAACCTGGGTTCGAATCTCAAGTGCGAGATGACGAACGGGGTCTGTCTAAGAATCCCACAACAGCACGAAACAACCATCCAGTGCTTCCAGGTTTTTAAAGATGTTCTAACATTGACTGGTTCATGATTTCGGTGGAATATCTAAGTCCGTTTGAAGTTTATATGATATGCGAAAAAACCAGAATACGTATACGGAACATGACTCCAAATTACTCTTTACTTCTTACTTCCGGCCGAACGTCATTCTGAAATAAAGGACATCCTATTAGCTGTCTGGAGATCGGTAACATGGAAACAAAAATACATACATTTTTTCTGTTTCGCAAACTGTATGACACTCAAATTGCATTGTACCAATAGTTCATCCTTATAACACAGAATCCATGTGACACTTCGTCTTCCATGCTGTAACAAACTGCAATTGTATCCTCTCAGTTCATAGATAACTCACCTTGACCAAGTGCCTTACCGACAACCGTGGTGCGATTCGTCTCGAGATTTTAGGGTGTAGTCCATCCGGCCCTGCTATTTTCCCGTGTCTTAAATGCTACGAGCCTTCAGTTCATCGTCTTGATCAAAGTCCAAGTTAAACAGGCGATTAAGTGACTTTTTGTTTGGGCATAGCTTTTAATTCATAAGAGGTTCTTTGGTGTAATCTGTCCCGAATTATTTCGACATTATTTCTGTTTAGGGATGCACTCCCTGTTGTAACTAGTTTGGTAATTCAGTAGTGAGTAATTGTCCTGCGATTTATTTGCAACAACAGTCTCCGGGTCCTTGCTTGCAGATTAAGCCAACTACCTTCACATTTTTTCTGATTGTGCTTGCGTACCTGCAGCGCCATATCTTATTTGCTGTGACAGGAATGATGGCGGCTTTTCAACATCTTTCTTAGCATACATCGAGTCTCTCGGTCCATCAAAAGATAGACTTGCTCCTTCTTCTTCTTTGGAACTATAAATGGTTGAGCTAATTGGTTGTATAACTGATGGAAATGAGCCCATGCCTCTCCTATTGACGAACTGGAGTAGACTTCCGAGTTTTTAGTTGAGGCTGCAAACCAACTGCCTTAGTTTCCATCTTCCATATGTTGGGACGACTCGATGCAACTGCTTGAGGGACCATATCAACCACGAAGCTGAATAAGGTTATCTCATGATACTTCTCCCTATCAGTGGGTTCATCGCCGAATCAGATTATCTGTGTCGATGATTCGGGGCCTACTCGACGTAGACGGTGATGGTCTTCCCAACGTGCTAACGTTGAGATCACGCCTCACGGTCGGTTACAAACTTGGATAACCCATCCGTCGCATTCAGGTACTACGTCTTCTACGATGACCGCACATAACAAACGACGTTAATACTGGAACAAATGAGTAAGAGTAGGTAGAGTAGGTAGTGAGAACACTGTTGAACGGTCCAGTACATGGCATGCAATTAACTAGCTTGAATTGTTTGCCTTTGACCTCGAAGGGGACTGGTGGAGTTTTCGACACTCAGAGACTCGGCTGCTGGATGTTTTGGCTGGGGCCCAGTGACCTTTCAGTGCCTCTGCAGGCGGAAGGAACTTGAACTGACTGACTCCGTCACCGTATATGAAGATTAAGTTAAATACAGATGAAGAGTTTCGTGAATTATGCCTGATGATATCTCTAATGTGCTAGAATAGAGGGTGGGGCGACTATGGTTTTAACAATTTTTAAAGGTTTTGTCAACTGTATTTACATATGTTTAGGTATGGCGAAGTCTGGTGGCAATTCAGACATTGCGCTACTGTCTTATTACAATGAATGACTCCCGTGTGCAGGTTGGGGTAAAGAAACTCCCTATGCACCTACAAGTAACGTTAAAATCACATATTTAATCATTAAAAAGAGTTCCCAAAATCGTTTGCTCATTAAAGGAGGAAAAGTAGTCAATGATGATCGTATGTTTACTGCTGATATATATATTGAAGATGGGGTTATTAGGTATGTTGTCATGTACCTTAATTTTGTGTAGACAAGTAGGTAATCAGCTTTCGATTCCAGGGGGAGTCAGAATCATTGATGCATCAGGAAAGATGGTCATCCCAGGTCTTTCAAATCTTTAAGTATATTTTATTGTCTTGTTTTTAGGTGGTGTTGATCCTCATACATGCTTTGACTCCTCTTGTTTTGGTTTGAATACATCAGATGATTTTTATTCTGGCACGAGAGCAGCACTTGCTGGTGGAACTACTACAATAAGTCTGTTTGTTTGAAATCATTTATGTTTCAGTCAATTGTATTGTACCTACAAAAATTTCACTTTTGGATATGTATGAAAAGTCCCGTCAAACAGCAGATTCCAAAGCGTGTTGTGACTATGCGATGCACTTTATCTTATCCCAGTTCGACCCCAAAATATCCAAGGAAATGGAACTACTAGTCAAAGAAAAGGGAGTGAATTCTTTTAGGGTTTTTTTGTCAAATACAAACGACATGTTAGTAGACGACGGTGATTTCTTCGAAATCGCTAAGCGGTGTAGAGATCTTGGTGCTGTTCTCCAAGTTCATGCAGAGAATGGAAAATTAGTTAGGATACTAGAGTCGAAAATATACAATGATGGTATTACTGGCCCAGAGGGTTACTTGTATTCACACCCAGAAATGGTTAGTTACGGTCCTAAAATAATTTTATTGTCTTTGTTTAAAATATTTTCGAATAAGAACTCTTACTGATTATTATTACTCTCTGCTATGTTTGGCCTTCTATTACCTCTAACATCCTAGCAGCGATATTCTTTTGCCCTCAAATGTCTTGGTACAGCTGATGGCGGGAAAGTCCAATTTCCCTTTCAAATTGCCTAACATGGGCACGCGTATACAACCCCTGCCAGGGAAGTCCTATTCACTGCCTTCTCGTGGCGGAGGTATTGTTTACGAAATTGAAAGAACGAAAAGCAAATGTTCGGTGGACTAACCGGGTGAGTGGATATCGATGATCCATCTAGTCCTCAGTCTTCAGTAATAAGGATAGTAGGTTGATAAACCTGTATTAATCCTGACACACTGCTTTCCATTGAAGGTCCAGCTTCTCCTTGAAAGTATTCACTGATGGGGCTGATACCACTTGTTCGAGTAAGGCGTTCCAATGATTGACTACTTGATGAGAAAAACGGGACCCCACTTTAAGTTTATTAGATCTTGGCTTAAGAACCTTCTCGCTATGACGGCGGAGATTATTAGTGCTGGAGGGAGCAAAAAGATAAGACATATTAACCTTGATTCCAAAACAGTGGTGCTCATAGGTTCCAGGATTCTAGGGAGAAAGTGGTGTGTAAACCTACTGTCGATCACCAGCTACCATGAGACTGCACCTTCTCACGTCGATCCACTACCTTGTGGATTATACCTTTGGGTCTAAGACTCTGGGTGTGGCCCCTTAAGAAAACCACCTGCTTCGGTTTGGGAGACTGGGAAGTATTCCAGCACACGCAAACCGAATGCCGAAGTGTGGCGTATATATATTTGGTGTATCATTGCATCAATATTTATGTGTTTTAGTAAACCAATAAGTGATAAATAACCTTTAATATGCGTTCTGTAACATTGTTTTTTACCGAATTCTCTGTGGTTATTTTGCTTAAACACTTCAAAGACAGATTCTTCTTGCCAGTTATAACAAAACATTTTGGAATGTTTAATTATTTAGCTTTAAGGGGTCGGTAACGTAAGTATTGTGTCGCAATTTATGAACCATAAAGTCGATTTTAGTGTTTATTGAATTATATATAGCAGTCCTGCAAATACTATTGTTGGAAATTTAAAGAAAGAGAATAATTTCGGAGTTTTGTAGAAGTAGTAGGTAACTCTACCATAAAAGAATAATTTAAATTTGTTGATAGGATCTATTGCATTGTAAAGGTGTTTTTGTTTATGTTAGATGGACATGGATGTAGGCTTTACTAGCACTTGATGACGTGTGATAAGTGATAGGCAGCAGCCTTAAAAGTGAGGTCCGCTTGATCCTAAGTATGGTAAATGATGTATTTGAATTAAAGTACTTTCGGGAGCTAGGCTCTTGGTGGTTATTTCACTGTTTCCTGCAAAAACACTGCCGTTCGTATTCTGCTAGTAAATTAGTGACTTACTGATTTGTTATATTGTCTAAAACCTTGGTGACTGATGAATAGTATTCTTTCATCCCTTTAGTCATTGCTTTGTTTTTTATTAAACAACAATGTACTTAGATTGTGTTTTAACTATATGTTGCAATTAGTTCATTCTGATTTTCAGCTCATCATTTTTATATTATAATGACCAAGCCTAAAAATCGACTGAGTTGTCAAACTTCTGTATACGTTTGACTGATTATATATCTTCTATATAAGCGTTAAATATTTAGACTGGTTTTATCTCTCTTGGAAGGGATTTTGTGTTTAAGAGTTGTAATGTATCTGAGACAAGATTGTCAATCCTTCTGCTTGAGTGATTAGTTTTTCTGCTCGTGATATTTACAAAAATAAACATCTCTTCACTAATATTCCAGAATGCCAACGTTGACCGCACCATGCTTTGCAGTATTGACAAAAGATTCGTATGATTATTGATCGTTCATCCGAGGACAACTTTCTCTTGACCTATGAGAAATCAGAAGACATAAATCATCAATAAGTATTTGATTTATTTGCTGTGTTTTCGAAGCATATAGGACTATGGAATTGATGTTATTGCTAAAAGATATTTTAGGGCGTTTATTATTTATTTGAACACATAAATATTGGTACAAGAGTGCGCCAAATATATACGCGCCACACAAAACAATAAGAATTCGAAGAGAAAAAAGGTAAGGAGCGTAAAAAAAGAGAACAATAACGAAGAGATTGGTGTAAGGTAGTGTAGTAATAATAATAGTAATAATGAGGGGACGGAAAGGTACAATCAGAAGAAATCTTTCAGTTAAGGGAGACACAACCACTTTTTATGAAGAAAGTAAAAGAAGGTTACAGCAGGATCGCCACTGGCTTCTATTCTGAGCCATATCCGATAACGTCTCTAGCCACTGTGTCGCACCATCTCTCGGACCTCAACCAGGGAGTCGTAAAGGACCGACAGAAGCCAGTCCTTTGCAGCTTTCTTTCATACCACGACACCATGTCATGCACTGACCACCTCTCCGCTTTTTCCAACCAGTCTCAGTCGGCAAATAATGCACGACGTGGAATTCTCTGGGACGATATTCGTAGAACATGTCCAAGCCACCGAAGTCGGTGTTTCAAGATGGTGACATCGATTGCATTATCATCTCTGTGCCCGAACACACGATGCCGAACCTCTGCATTACTGACATGGTGTTGCCACTGGATGTCAGAAATTCTTCGGAGACAGCGATGATCAAACACAGAGAGTCGTCTAACATCCTCAACTCAGAGAGGCCAGGTTTCACAAGCATAGAGCAGAACTGCTCTCACCGACGCGTTGTAGATCCGACCTTTTACAGCCAGACTAACACCACGAAGGCGCCAAAGGTGTCCAGATTGGCATAAGTCGCTCTGGCTTTCACTATACGTGCATTGATCTCATCACTCACGCAACCACCAGCACTTATGTAGCTACCTAGATACACGAACTTTTCGACTACTTCTATCTGCTCACCATCCAGGGTGAGTACAGGATTAGAATTCTGCCAGTCTTGTAGAAGTACTTTGCACTTCGAAGGTGCAAAGCACATGCCATACCTACGGACACTGATTTCCAACTGATTAAGTGCGGATTGCATGTCTTGGGTATTATCGCACAGTAAGACAATATCATCCGCATATTCAAGGTCGAGAATCCTTTCTCCAGGCAACAGATCCACACCACCATTACTTACATTCATCAGAGCTGTTTCCAGAATGTCATCGACGGCAAAGTCGAAGAGGAATGGTGAGATTGGGCAACCCTGCCTAACCCCACTGCTCGAATGGAACAATGGAGAGAGGTGGTTGTATGCCCTCACTCTGCCTAAGGTGTTTGTATATAGGGCTTTTAGGATGTTAATAAGCTTCTCAGGCACACCCTTCTTCAATAGACAATCCCACAGAACAGTCCTGTCCAACGAATCGAAGGCAGACCTGATGTCAAGAAACACTACGATTGTTGGCCTTTGATAAGTATGACGGTGTTCTAACATTTGGCGGAGGGTGAAGATATGATCAATACATCCTCGACCAGAACGAAACCCAGCCTGCTCCTCTCGAGTCAATCTTTCTCGGGTTTTAAACAACCTACGAAGTATGACGGAAGCCAATAGCTTGGACGCAATCGGAAGTAGACTTATCCCACGATAGTTGTTACAGAGACGACGTGAACCCTTTTTAAAGATAGGGACAACTATCAACTCATTCCATAACGTTGGTACACTCTCTAGTTCCCATATCTTTATAAACAACGTCGTCAGTTCCTTAGTCAGAAAGTCACCACCATCTTTAAAAAGAGCCGGAGGTAAGTCATCTGGGCCAGGTGATTTGTAGCGCTTGAAGAGTTGGAGTTCTTTGCGGACTTCCGCCTCATTTGGTGGATCAGTCGCCACCGGCCATGGAGGACAGGACAGTCTGACCGATGTTGCCGGAGCAGCCAGCCAGTTGAACTGCCCATCGTCCAAGACGTCGATGGATGTTAGTGATTGGCATCCCTCACCCTCGTAGATTGTTTCGCTCACACCAGACTTCTTGCTGCCAGTGGCTTGGATGAGTTGGAAGAGCTTCCGGTAATTACCAGATGCAGCTACTGCTTCCAACTCATTAGCGCGCTCCGACCACTAGGCTTCTCGGTCCTTACGCAAGCTTTGCCCAACTTCATTACGTAACATCCTTCGTTTGTGGTCAAACTCACGGTCACCCGGAGTAGACCGACGGGCTTCAATGAGTTGTAAGGAGCCTGAGGAAGGCCAGTGCTTATAAGCGGGACGTTTCGCGAACCCACAACTGACTGTACCCGCCATTTTCATGGGGTCATGCAATTGCAACCAATGCTCATCTATACTTTTCGGTGGAATGGTAGCTAGCCTAGAAACTAGCTCGGTTCGATACTTACTTGCAACAGAAGTTGCAACCAGCTTGCTAACATCAATCCGTTGGTGGCGGTCACTTCGTTGTCCACTGAAAAGTAAGGCAAGATTGGCGCAGACCAAGGCATGGTCAGAGTCCAGATAGGTACTCCAAAAGGAGCGGAATTCTTGTACACAACCACGCCAGCGGTAGCTGATCGCGATGTGATCAATCTGAGTCCAGGCTTG